AGCATCCACTAACTCAGGCTGAAATGTAACCTATAACAAATCGACTTACGAGTAGCAACAGTAAACACAAAGCAACATTTTTGTAAGCGCTACAGTCTTCAAGAGTGCAAATTGATAATTGAGTATTGACTTTAAGCAAACCGTGTTTCAATATCATCCCATTCTATCAAGGTGCTAACAATTTTTTAAAAAACTCATTAATAATTCAAAACACAAAGAAAAATCATAAGCGTGTCGTGGTTTTATATGTGATAAAAAATCACGTTAATTTACATAAACTTTAGCTTTGGTTTTCTCGGTTTAGACAAAGTTTATTTTAAAAATTACTTCGGCAATGAACTCGTATAAGATGAGTCGTTTTTTAAGCTATTTAAAGCACTTGTAGTCGTGTTTTATCACATATAAAACACTCCGCTACGCGTCGTGTTTTATATGTGATAAAACACTCCTACGCGTGCTTTAAATAGTATAAAAAGTAGCGAATAGCGATTCGCTGTATGAAAAGTAGTCAACTACTTGGCTACTTTTAGGCAAAATGTAGTTAGCTATAACTACAGCTACTGTTTTATAAAAGTAGTAAAAAACTACTGGCTACTTGAAAATTGTAGTTCGCTACAGTAGCGAACTACAACTACTTCGCTACTACCCACCCTTGGTCGTTTATCATGACCAAGAAAAGGATTTGTCCCAGTGCGGTTCCTTGGGGCACTCCGCCATTAACTCTTTGCCACTCGGACACAAAAAGGCCAATTTTGACACGTTGCTCTCTTTCTGTTAGGAAGTTTTTAATTAATCCAGCTAATTGTAATTGGTGGGACTTCCATGGAAGATAGTTTTCGAAGAAAATTTTATGGTCAATATGGTCAAAAGCCTTAGCGAAATCCAATAGGAAGATCCTTAACATTTTTTAGCTCATCGGATCTATTGAGTAGATGGTGAATGAAGCTCAAAAGTGCGTGAGTTGTCGATGATCTCTTTAGCGAACCATATTGCCGCTTATCAATCTTATCAATAATCGATTTCATCAGCGAATCAGCAATGAATCGTTCACATATTTTAGCTAAGGTAGGTGTAAGAGAAATTGGTCGCAAATCCGTACTAATATCATTTAAATTCTTTAATTTTTGAATCGGAATAACATCCGCTTTTTTCCAGATAGTAGGGACCAATGATTGTTGTATGGACTATAATTTCAATTAGACTTTAGGACCCAGTTAGGAACATGGTCAGGACCCGACGACTTTGTAATTGCGGATAATTTGCGATAAACGTCAATTTCGCTAATAATAGTTTAGGTGGAATTTCAGGATAATCGATTTCGTGTTGTATGCCGACAGGAGTACTATATAACGGGTCTAAGGTGTTTGGTAATAGAGAGGAAGGCAGCGTTCAGTATTTTCTCAGTAAGTTCATTGCCGCTGATAGTCCTGTCTTCCGAGACGATAGACAGTGGTACTTGCTTTTTAGGGTAGCCTGCTAATTGTTTAACAGTGTCCCACCATTTCTTATTATTGTTCTTAGATTTCAACTCATTTAACTTAGTATTGAGGAAGGTAGATTTTAGTCTTTTACACTCTCTAACACACTGATTTCGGAGTTTGCAATAGAGTGTACGATTACCTTGACGGAAAGCCTTTTGCCGCTTTGCAATAAGATTTTTGTAGCTGGGGGTTATCCAAGGTTTATCGCTGGTATGCAGCTTGATAGACTTAGCTTCTTTGGTAAAAAATAGTCTAGTCCGGATTCAATGACATTATGGAACATATTTAATTTCGTTTCATATGACACAGTTTGATACAAACCCAACCAATTAACTTTCGTTAGCCATGCATTCACTGAAAGCAGGTTTTGCACTCACGTTTCCTTGCCGAATAATACTTTATTATGCTGGTTCTGTCTGTTAATCTTTTGCACTTTGGAGGGAAAATAATACAGAGTTATGGTCGCTACGACCAAGTGGTGCAATAATACGGACTGGGGAACAAAAATCACTCATATTTGTTAAGATCAAATCCAACGTAGCTTCGTTTCTTGTGGGGGCCTTGGCAACTTGCTTTAGAGAAGTGTCTAAGCAGAGATGAAATCGGGCACCTGTTGAAATCCCCAACGAGAAAAATGCTTGCATTTGGATATATGACGAGTGCAAGGTCAAGTTTTGCAATTATAGATGATCGATAAACGCTTTATTGTCGCCACATGGAGGGTTATAAGCTACGCAAACGATCAGACACGAAAATCCTCGAAAAAGTCTATGTGGTCGGATATGTAACCAAAGTGTCTCAAAATTGCCATCATGTAACTCTGTTAGTACTTTAAAAGGGTACGATTTAACAAAAGCGCAAACCGCTCCACCAGTTCTTGAAACCCTGTCACGTCTAGCCACTGAATAGGTGGTTATATGGACAGCTGCATCGTCGATATTATCGTTCAACCATGCTTCTGTAATGAACGCAAAGCTATTAACACCATTTAGGCTCATAGTTAACTCTAAGTCTTCAACTTTCGGCAATAATCAGATCTCGCATTTGGTAGAAAAAGGGACATTTTTGATCGCTCCGTGTCAAATTTTCCATAGATTGATTCGTTATTCTATCAGGGGTGCATATAAGGGAGAGGTCTCGTGATTCAATAAACGGGGGGTCGTAGGTGAGGGGGGTAGGTCGGTTGATGTAACCATGCAGGGACTGGGATATCCATTAAGGGATTTTGAATGGATGAATTTCTCCCTGGTTCCCGATAATAATTCTGAGGTGGCAGGAACAGGTTGGGATTGATGTATCGCGTCACCGAGGCTCGGCGGTGAGATAAAAAAGAATCGGGTGATCAGTGGTTGTTGCATGCATGTATTTCTAGTCTATTGATTTAATTATGTGAAAATTACGTAGTTCCACGACGAGGGGTCTCTACTTCCGCTTCTCTCCAAACACACTCCAACCTCGTTCCCAGAGCATGCCCGTTCGCAGGTTAGGGTTGGAGATCAATGGTTGGCAGGCTTTGTGGCATCCTTGTGTAGAAAAGTAGGACAAAAGTAGGACTAGAATTTTAGAAAAAGTAGGAATAAAGTAGGAAAATGTGTAGAAAAGTAGGACAAAAGTAGGACAAAAGTAGGAGTTTTGGAGATGCAAATAACACAATTGTGTAAATTTTTTTTGCTCAATATTTTTATGTACTCATTCACTTATGCAGCATTTTTTTTCTCAAAACTTTTAAATTGCATCGGTATAAAAGCTAAAGCATCTGCTCCGCAGCAACACAATTCAAATGCATGTATTGGGCTACACAATGCACCAATCCACACTGCGGCAGTAGCACATATCAGGGCCGTAAGAAGCTCTTTTCGATTGTGGGAGGGGAGGCTGAAAGCGAGGGCCGAAGGCCCGAGGAAATTTTTAAATTTAGAATCTCTGAAATGCCATTTCCTGGACTTTGGGGAAGATTTGACAGAATTCTAATGGTCAAAAAACAGCGTTTTAGTATGTCAAAATTTACAGTTTAGTAGTACTAAATGGGCAAAGGCATATTTAATTAACTATATATTGGATAAGTTCCAGGAAAGTATGGGTAATATCTTCATTCTTTGCAGTTTGTCATGGATTAATTGATAAAGGTCTGCATCAGGATTTTGAAAAAAATGATTATTAGCAAATTATTGGGGGGCTGCAGCCCCCCCCGGTTGTTATGGCCCTGTATATATGATGCTTGATTAACTGAGGAGGGAGTTGAATATTTGGAATCTCTAGATCGTCGGAAATGGCACTTTCGGAGTCTTCATTAATTTATTGATTATGATTCTAGAGATGCTATGAAATTTTATACTCGGAAAATGCACTTCTTCTCCTCCTGAGATCTTATCATCTGGGATACAAATAGGGAATAAAAATTACGGGTACTATAGATGTAATTACGAGAGCTATAACATACTGATTCCCCAAGCTGTCTTAAAAAAGTAGGATTTTATGAGAAAAAGTAGGAAAATTCAAGCAATTTTTAATAAAAAATAGGAAAAGTAGGAAAGTTGAAGAAAAGTAGGAAAAAGTAGGAAAAGTAGGATGGCAAGAAAGCCTGGGTTGGGCACAGCTCTGAAAAAATCGAATTTTTTCACGTTGAATTTTCAACGTGATATGTACTTATGCTCGTGCTTTAATCTGCAACCTAATTCACGCTGGCTGTAGGCCGTAGGAGCCTGCCTTGTGAAGTTGGCGCTAAAGTTGGATTACCTTTTTTTACACCCTGTATAAAACCCACAAAATAATTGCGATGAACCAATAGAATTAATTTACTTTGGCTGGCTCACCCACCAAACTGAATTAGACACAAGAACTTTAGCAGAAAGATTATTTATTTTTTAGTGGTTTAAACACATCTCTGAATGGTCGATATATTTTGAATACTTATACTGTACGTCATAATATTTAACGAAATAACTAAAAATATCAACAACTTTTGCAAAAAATACATCTAACTTATAATAATAGAATTTAGTTGTTGTGTTTCCGAGTCTAGTCGATGCGATTGCTTTAGGTTTTCGTCATACTTGAACGGTCGTCAATACTGACACTGAACTCAGATTATTATACTCTCCGACATCGTCATCGAGTCCAATATCTCTCCTCAAATCGTTGCATAGCAATAAATTTCACATTGCCTAATAGTACGAATGTTCCTCCTTCGAAACAGGATTTGTTCACCATTGTCCATTGGGCAATATTCCCGTGACCCACAAAGAACTTGTTTATCCCAAACTCGAAATTTTATTTTCGACAGAAGCGTTCATCACAAGATCGTTGTCAAAAGAGCGGCTCAGCAACCTGGCCTCCTAGTTAGAAAACACTCAATCAGGGGAGGGGTTAGAATGGAATGCGGGGCTTTCAAAGCAACACGATATGCAAAATTTTCAGTTCAAAGGCCATTTAAAATTGCCCACTTCGTTTATACACCCTGTATATTGGTCGTTCATGAAGACAATGATTTTTAGACAATACCCATACAACAACAATAGACGGACACGAGCTTAACAGCTACACTAAATATTTATTGGTACTCGTTTGGTGTACATTAATCACTAATTGCTAATACGTTACATTTGGACGATACGTTAATCAATCATGTATACCACCGAATTTGGCCTTACCACATACGAAACTATACCATATTCTATTATATATAATATATAGGAATCAATAAATATACTTATACTAGTAAAAAATCGGAAAAAGTAACTGGCACGCTTTAGCGTATAAAATGCTTCAAAAATCATATTACATCTTCCATTAAATGTAAGCATCTGCCAGTTTTAAACAAAGTACGTGCTACAAATGTATATCATGCGCGTTCATATATATATGTAACGAACAAAAATTCTACATCTATTATGAGCGTAAATATTCCAAAGTCAATATGTTAATTGGCAAAGAATTTATAGGTTGGATTTTCGAATCCATCTTCTTGCATCTTGAGGAGGTGGCGTTTCTCCTGCGAATCATCTTCGGCTATGACGGTCTTGGTGTTACGTTTGGAGGATCCTTTTCTGAAGAATAATGCAAGCACGATGACAATCATGATCACCAAGGCGCCGCAACTCAGACCAATGACAGCAGCAAACACCGCACGGGATTTGAGAGGATGATCATGATGGTGTTTTTTACCATCCTTAGACAAACGTGGTGCGGGCTTTCCTGGTACGTCTTCAGTAGGAAGGGTTGAATCATGTTCATTTTCAGGCTTTTTCTCGTCTTCGTCCAAGCCAAGTGTTTCGTCACGGCCTTCAGTAGCTGAATGTTCCTCAGTCGGGGGTGGAGGGGTTGTCTTCGGCTTGTGTGCAAACTGAAGATAGCAAAGAACATAAATTATAGCTATTCGTGAATAATGAACATCTAAGAAACGTGGGAGGTTGTTAATTCTTTAGATAAGATGTAATTCTACTTTTTTAGTAATAGCAAAAACAGCAATTTTGTAACCATTACACAAGTCATTTATAGGTGGCGAGTTTACGTTTTCCAAGGCCGAATTTCTTGGAAATAAGTGAAAGCTTCTGTGGAAGGTCACATGCGATAGATTAAGACCTTGCTTTTATAGAGCCTTTTATCATTATATATATTGGACCTATTCTTCAAATCATACCGTTATAATAAGTGATATATAAAAGACCTTTGTCACTAAAAAATTACGTACTAGTAACAAGTTAATAAACTCTAAGGAGGTGTCACAAATCACGAAGTCAAAATCATACTTTGCCAAGCAAATTTTCCAAACAATAACCAACAGATGATTGAGTATTGTTCAGGAGCGAAATATTTGAAGCGAAATGCGGAGGTTTTTTTTAACAAGAATGCGGCTTTTTACTCAGCCCTACTAAGAAGGCCAACCACCATACTAGGCGTGATGTCGGGTAGTCAATAGCGAGATCTCGCCTACGCGAGCTGGCCTTCGTCTCATATAAACGAATTTTAACACGGAATTAATTTAACACGCGAGGTCTCGCCTGTGAAGGCAAGCCCTTCATGAGTTCATGGTAAAGTAAACCCACCACACAGCAAATACTATACCAGTGTGGGTAAGGCCAAAAAAAAAATATGTGGGTTTCCGGTTTCCCGACCCTACCTAGCTTTTGGACGTCGAAATCCCGACCCTAAACTTTTTTATTGGATCATGGTTGTAAGTGTTTCCACTTAGAGGAATTGAAATTTGAGGCAATATTAGGGAAATTTATTTTTGGATGTGGAAGCACTGACTAAACAAAATGGCGTCCGCTTGTTCGGAAAATTAAAAAAAAAGTTTAAAAAAAAGAAGTTAAAACCGACCTACCCTACCTAAGTTTTTATAAGAAGAAACCGGAAACCCACATATTTTTTTTTTTGGCCTAAGGATAAACAATGCATTGAGGGAATGTAGGATCAAAAATATAAATACTGTATAACAAGAACTTCAAAGTTTTTATTATATTTTTCAGGTAGTTGGACCTTCGAGTCTAAAGCAAGGTACTTTAGGGACCGGTCATTATTTATGGCGGGGGGTGGCACCGAAGAGAAAATGGTTGGGTAAACTAAATTTTGAGTAAGTAAAAGGTTGGGTAAATGAAAAACAAAACAATTCAAGGGTTGGGTAATAAAAAGTTATGGTCATATGTCAATACAATATGTGAATCAATCAGTCACTGTCTTGATCATTTTCCAATTTGTTAGAAGACAAATTAATGGTGTCTCCAAAGAAAGCACATGTGCAGACAACATGATACATTAAACTGCAGCAAATTTCACAAGCAGTTATCAAACTCCTGTCACAGAAAACGGGTAAAGGACATATGTGACAACTGAATGGTAACCTTTTGTAAAGTTTAATTTTGGCCAGGGGTGGGTATTTATTTTATACTTGATATTTGAGGTTGGGTAACCAAATTTTTTACTTTTCAATGGTTGGGTCAGCAAAATGTTTGCCACGAAAAACATTTCTCTTCGGTGCCACCCCCAACCATAAATGACCGGTCCCTTAGCTATATGGTGACGTACTAAGTACTTTCGACAAACATGATCATTGTTTGGTTCATAATAAAAACACGTATCATAAGTCTAATAACGGGTCAAAGCAACTGCATTTCAAGATTGAACAAGATATGAATAATCTTTTTATACAAGCAATTCCAGGCCCTCTTAGGGTGAAAGAAATCACAGCATACAAACCTCAAAGTCGATATCACTGGCAAACGGTGGTAAATCGAATTTGATCTTCCCACGAACTGATTCCACTTTTTTTAGGATGTCAACACCTTCTTTCAATGATGACTTGACCAGATTCAAATGTTTCAAAAACAAGTCTCTCGCAGACATGAGTTTCTCTTTGCGAGAACCCTTTGACAGAAGTTTTTTAGATAAACTACGCATACTAGAATAAAAAGAAACAGTACTTAAACTCCGCAGTTAATATGATACAATTCGCCAGGTGGGTTTTTACGATTGCAACCCATATACTTACTTTTGGTCTTGGTCATTTTCTAATATGTTCATGAAACGTTGGAAGGTCTTGATTATCTTGGCTGGTTTATTTTTATGTTGTCGCACGGCATCCACAAACGCACTCATAGCCAGATGTTTCTTGTGATTCAAGTTCATTTGAACACATTCTTTCTTTTCTTGGCTCAATCGAGTCTCGTCCAGTTTTGCCTGACTTTCAATGTTCTTTAATGTGCCTTGATAGATCTCCAAGGTTTCTAGACAAATAATGAAGAAATAAGTTTCGAGAAATAACGAAAAATCGAGGTACAAAACCCGAATAAAATCATCTACGTGGGAAAACATACTTTTGAACAAGGCTTTAGCTTGATCGGGGTCATCTTTCTTCAATTCCTCCATTCGAGATTTAGCTTCATTCAGATCTTTGGCCAATTTTTTCACTTTTCCATCTTTCTCACCATGAAGAAGCTCAGTTTTCGCATTATATATAGAACGGTCACAGCCTAAACGTAAACATGGAATTTCCTTGCCTTACAATTTCCTAATGTACGTTGTTAAAAAACCCCGAAGTGATCACATCGGATGAGCAAAATCACTGTATAGTTTAGCGAGTTTACCTAAATATTAATTTACCAAAGCAAATATTGGTGAAAATTAATCTAACGTAAAATGAAAATAGCTTTTACTGGGTAAAATTTAATATCTCAAAATAGAACAAACATGAAATAGAAATGTTATTTTAATTTTAATAATAACATTTCTATTCATCTGAAATATGTTACTTTGTAAAATGTTGAGCAACTTCAAACACTTCTATCTTAACTACAATAATTCCTAATTGTCATTACTTTCTACACTAAAATTTGACTGTTTGAGTAATTGCTGTTTAGTATAGAACATGGACTAAATTAAACATCGAAACGTTTTTTTGCGATAACAGGTACATGCACGCTGTTTTTCTAAATGACTGGATTTACTGACTTTCGTTACAAAGAATGATATTACTGTGGCTAAACTGATAGCTACCTTTGCTCAGTTTAGGGATGTGAGCACCAAATTTGTTCAGCAAATCTTCCAAGGTTTCATGATATGTTTTTGGCATCTAGATAAATCGTGAAAACATGTTAGGGTTATGTTTAGCATTTCAACGAAGATCTCGCACTCCATATCCCACTTTTTGCAATATGAAATAACCAGATTCCTGGTTAAATAAACCAGGTTATGGTGGAAAGCGAGATAATCTAACTGGGAAATTAAAACAGGAATATTAAGTTACCCAAAACAGTGTTATTTCTAGGTTAACCAGGAAATTTTAACCAGAGTGTTGATTAATAGTACAACCTACTGTCTACTGAGTATACTGACATACTGTTCCATGCACAACAAAATGGGAAAGATCATAAATCATTCTTACTGTGCTTTCAACGGAATCTGGTGCACTTTCGGCTTCTACAGATTCCTAAAAATAAAAACATCACAACATTGTTTTCTTGAACAGCAAAATAAGAACAATACGCTCTACGGAGAATTAAGTCGCTGGAGCTATGGAAATAGGAAAGATGTATATGTTGCAAGTGTAGTATTAATGAGATAGAACTGCACATATTTTATATAAACAATGTTGTCTATTTCGAGTGGTTTTGACCAAAATTGACAGAATTTATTGTGTAAACTCGGCAATGTTTCAGCGTATTCTGAAATTTCGGGCCCCAACCCTGAGAATATCGCTTTCTTTCAAGCATAGCACCAATAAATTTGGTGTACAGTATGTTTTCAAAAATGTTCAGTATTTGCGAAAAATCAGTTTCGTAAATATGATATAAGTAATGATATACGTTTCAGTCTTCTATCCAGTGTAACTTATGAGATCAGTCGGATTTTTCATTTTGTGTCTACCCAGCAATCGATTAATGGTTTAAATTATGCGTTCTTACCATTGTTGGAGCAGCTTCAACGGACTTCTACAAAAAACACAAATGCGTTAAGAGCAATTCAACCTTTAGCTGAGTTCCGCCTGTTAAAATAATGCTTATAACTAGCTAAATATTACATAAGCCTAGTGTCTGGTAGTGTAAATGAAACCAGAAACAAGGAAACGACTTGTAACATAACATTAATCTACGCACGTTTTCCAAACTATATACACTAGTTTACACATAGGGTAGTGAAAGCTACAGCGTTTTGACAGATTTCAATCACAATACTGTAAGTCCCCACTGTAGGTCATACAGTAACTGCTTGAGAAAGTGTTATTTAAGGTTCATTGCAAAATATACTGCCTATATCACAGTGTTCAACCCCAGGACAGCAACAATCTATATGTGTTGGTACATTACCTTGCAACACACATATTCCACACCAGTAAACACATCTGTACCACATGGAAGAAGGATACCATAATTTTCCAAATGCTTTGCCTTGCCCCTACAGATCTGATTTGCTCTTTCATTCCAATACGCATGGTTCCTGCAGGTTTTGGTCTCATGAACATAGCCAAAATCACATTGAGCGTCAAAAGGATAGCTCATTGCATCAGCTTCGAATTTACCAACTAAAATGTAAAAGTGATCACAATTTAACGCCAATCTAACTTATTATAAATGGTGATATATACACCAGACCGAATTAGTTAAGAACACGCATGTTTTTCCATTCACAATTGATTTACATTCTCGGACATTGAAAGCATAAAATATGGAACCAAGATATCCAAACATGTAAATAGGCCTTTCCCAAGACAGCTTCACGACCTCGTTCAGGTTTTCTTGTGGGATCTTGGTAAGCACATTGGCCGAATTGTGTTTCAAGAGATATGGTTCAAGAGATATCAAGAGCGAAGCATTGTTTTCACATACTGTACGGATGTTTCACATACTGTACGGATATACAATGCGTACATACTTCGTAGAGCATTTTATTCCAGGGTGCGATAATTGAATATTTTTAGCCGTACTTGACTGGTACTCCGACAACTCTTGTCGCGTACCTGGACTGGTACAAACTCAAGAGTCAAGACGTACCTAAGACTACTTCCGAGTCATGCGTTTTTATACCTACGTATAGTTTACTGGTCCAAAAGCAAAAAATGTATGAGCAATTTAACAATTTTGTACAAATGAATCTTTAATTATGGTATTTGTACAACATAATATAACAGTTTTCAAAGCGTCGATGTTGTGACTCGAATGACCTCACTCATTTACAGTGGATTTACCGAGGGTGTTAACAGTCTGACCTCAGCCACATACAGTGTAGTTTTCCTCATTGGCCTAAAAAAATGCCTGCGGTTCCGGTTTCATATCGCGAAAAAATTAGGGTAGGTAGGTCGGAAATAAAAAAAATTTTGAGGGTCAGTCGGGATACCGGAACCACAGGTATTTTATTTTTAGGCCTTGGTATAGCATTGACAGTTAAGCCCAGGTCACACCACACAACGATAACGATACGATAATGATACGATAACTTGTAAACACGCGATAATTGGTAAAAAAATTATGTTGGTGTCCACACTACAACGAAAACGATAAAATTATCGGCGTATGACGATAACGATTTTAAAATTGCTCACCAGAGCGATTTCCTTTTGGCCTTTTTCATCCCAAAATATGTTGGATGCGTGGAATTTACATGTATAGCTAAAATTATTCACGGTTTTGAATACGTTGGCAGGTTTGCTAGTTATTGCTAGAAGGAAAATGTAAGTACGCGAATAGCAAATTTCCGCGTACCTACGTGGTACTTGCCTAAAAACAAGGAAGTACCAGACCATAAATTTGGCGTACTTCCGGTACGTTGGTACGCGAATTATCGCACCCTGTTATTCTCCGAAATATGTGCTCGGACCGGCCTTGTTCTGCTTAGACATCGATGCGGAAATTGAGACATTTTCGTAGAAAACAACATACATGAAAAGTACGTTTATAGAAAAACTTATAGAAAGGTACTGGTACTAAATTTATTAAAAAAATATTTCTTAAACTGTAGGAAATTAGTCAAATAACAACTCAATTCCAAAAATGCACCACGAAAACCGCACGAAAAGTGGCCAGACACAACAAGATTGTGAAGATATATTGGGAAAGGTCTATGTTCACAGCTAGGCCCACAGTATATTTTGTAAGGGAGGTTGGGAAAACATTTTATTATATAAACATAAGTGTTATATAGAGTTTTTGGCCACTGAGAAAACTCGTATTTAAACACAGCACGTAAAAAATACGATATTTTTACGTGTGAAAATATCATTTGTTGTAAAACCCATTGCCACGGACGTTACATTGTTTTTCACTGAATTTTGTTTATATAATAAACAGAAAAATACATGGGTGCTTGGAAATACCAGATTTATTTCTCGTGTTGAACATGATATCTCACTCGTTCGCTGCGCTCATTCGTGAGATATCATGTTAACACTCGAAATAAATCTTGTATTTCCGCGCACCCATGTATTATTCTCTATTTATTTAATAAGTAATGTTTTTAATTAGTACTATATGTACAGTATGGTACAAATGTATACACAAAATAATGTAGTTTAACACATAGTTTACGGTTTAAAACTATACTTTTATGAAAACAGGGAAATTTTCTAATAACACGAGGTTTGCGATGCCATACACACGACATTACGCTTACCAAGACATCTGTATGGAAGAACAGTGTACGATGATGTGCAATCCTCTCCAGAACAAATAGTTACATTGTCATTGGCTTCAACAATATTGGTGACTTCAATATTAGGGTAGGTCTTTTGACAGAACCTGAAAAATAACCAAGCGATTATTTGTAAAATAATGACATGTGGAATCAAGATTTTAGGCATCTCCAGTCAGCTCTTCTTCATGATTATAGTTTCTATTTACGATCGTATAGTCAACTGCTCAACGCAAATGCAAAGCCTCCTTACTTAAGAATTTCTTTTGGATCACTGGACCAAAATTGTTCTTTATTGGCATCATCAGCCCACACTCCAGATGCAACATCAATGTGTTTTGAAACTTTTCCATTCCCAATGGCAATTCTTGGTTCAAAATTCAAATTTTGAACATCCTTAATTTTTTCAGCTTGTGCCTAAAAATAATACTACATTAATTACAGTATATACATCCTAATTGTTTCTTAATGGTACACTTTGAAGTGTTTTCGGATATTATGTGTGATCACACAGCTGGGGCATTTGTTCAATTCATGAAATACATTTCAATTCTATAACACATAGCTACTAACTACAAACTACTAACTATAACATAGCTACTTCAACCCTCTATAATAGCACTGTTGACTGTTGTCGACTGACCTGCACCTTCTGTTGCATGATAGTATTGCACAATAAAATTCACCAATATATGAATAAGGTTAGTTTTGTGTCTCTGCAGTGTAGTGACCGTAATCCTAAATAACTTTTCAACTGATTTTAATAACAAATTAATCCGCTTAATTGAATCTTTATAAGTTTTATAGGCAAATGGAACTAATTGTTACTTAATCTAAAATGTCGAAACGTTGCTAATTTCCACGTAGGGTATATATAGCTTAAAAACCTGACATTCATTTCGTCCTGCATGACTGTGGCAATCATGCTATTTCCGTAAAAATGTAAGAGCATACATATATTTCAACGAATAAATTTGTCACACAAGGTTTGCCAAAAATCAATGTACATGCATGATGAAAACAGTCAAAGAAAATTTGTTATACAGAGTGTATAAGAAAAAAGGTAATCGAACTTTAGCGCGCTATTGTATCTGAATTACTCCGCGTATAGCCTGCGTGGCCGGCCTATAGAATATAGGCCTGCAACAATCTCAAGGGAATTTGGTATTTCGTGGCCGGGAGCGGACTCAAAAATCCTATTGGTTGAAATCATAATGTATGCATACCAAAATACGCATCAATCACTGTGGCGCAATGTTTATACGCTATCAATAAAAACGTATATTAGCGTATATTTTTGAAAGAGTGCTGTGAATTTGGGTTTTAAACTAAAAACTGAACAGCTGGAAATCGTTGAGATGTTTTGGTAGGTTTTCTCACTGGATATCTGCCTTGACAAGTCGAAGAGCATGGATACAAACCCATGCACGTGCTGGTATTTCTCTAAATAAACAGTAGCTATACCCGATCAATTTGAAAATACTGATTTTGACAAATTATGTATCCTATTAAATACATGTCGCTTTATGTATTTATGAAACTTACTACTCGATCTACAAACGTTGCTTTTATCGGTTATTGTGAGTTTTACAGCAGACTACGAACTACAGTGCAATTTAGCTTGTATTGTGATATATTTTTATAGTTAAGAGTTTGTTATTGTCAATTTGTAAACGTTTAACTGTTCAGCCGTGAGCCGTTGCAATTTTGAAACATATATTCGCTCATATAGCTGGTCATAATATGTATGATTTTGAAATTTATTGTAATGTTTGGACCTAAGATGGTATTGTCTTCCATTTAATATAAATATATTTTTGAGTTCCGTTCATTATATTAATACGTAAAAATAGTCTGTTGAGTAACACATCTAAACTGCAATATCAAGTCAAAATGTTTTGTTCTAGTGAATTGTATCACATACTAATGTACCAAACGGACATCGCCGGTGTAAATTCTGTTTTATTTATTCCAAAAGTAATTTAAACTGCCAATTTTTTAAAAGTTTGAATTCGAGAGCCACTCTATATGAACTACAATAATAATAAATTAAAATATAAAATACTGATTGATTGGTTGGATTGGAAATAAATTATCATAGTAATTAGTGGGCGGTTATCAAATTTCCTTGAGATTGTTGCAGGCTCTCATTTCTCCGCGAATATGAACGAGATTTTTCACATTCGGAAAGATCATGCTTTTAGCTGTTGAATGATATCTTCTTCATGCCAAATGGATAAAAAATGAGCAAATACGAATCCGATAAAAAATGTTAGTCAGAATCGCATATTTTCACCGTTGAGAGTTGGGTCTAAAACCATTGAAAATGAACCCCCTTTGGTACTTAAGTTGATGAATTTCACTTCAATAAACGACGCACATATTCATAATTATTATTAAGTAGGAATAAATCTTAGCTAAGCTACGACACGTTCGTGATTAATTGCTTTTTCTTTTGTTATTCATTGTTTTAATTAGGCACAGAAGTGAAAATATGCGATTTTGACTACCATTTTTAATCGGCCTCGTACATGCTTATTTTTTCTCCACTTGGCATGAAAAGCATGTTATTCAATAGCTAAAAGCCTGATCTTTCGGAATATGAAAACCAATTGTTTATACGCCGAGTAATTCACGTATAATAGCGCGCTGAAGTTCGATTACCTTTTTTTATACACCCTGTATACAAGTGACACTATAGAAATTATCTCATTGTTCTTAAGCCGCTCTTAAACGCGCGTGATTACACCCCTGGGAATTTAATGAACTTGTACTGTACTGTACTGTACTGTACTGTACTGTACTGTACTGTACAACAGGTGGGAAATTTGTCTGAGCATGCGCGAGTAAAATGAGCCACGCAATACACGCAACGCGTGTTTACAAAAAGGCACAATCGTGTAAATATTGCCAAATGTTTGTACAAAATAAATGACTGTTTTATGTTGAAAGAGTGGACATGATCTAAATTAATAATACAGAATTTTTTAGTGACGTTCTATTTCAGTACCCTGCCATTGTCTCTGGTGGGCTGTCCGTGTGCATTCGATCTGAAACAGTTGCTACTTTGCTGTCGAAAAATTTCGAATGTTTACATGAAAATAGAGGCAAGTCATGCATTTTACAACCTCGTAAACTATATGAGCCCCTATTTTTACGCTTATACCTAAGATATCAAATAAAAGTACATGAAACAGAGAACATTTGTAGAAAGTTTTATCGTGAGGCCACGGCCAGTTTTTAAAATGTCTTTATTTCTGTTCCGGTCATCACCAAAATTACACAAAAGCCGGGCTTGAATATACAACAAATTTTGAATCTCATCAAGCACAAAAATACTTAACGTGTAACCAAAATATGCTCATGAAATCGAAATTAATACCTAAATTTTCAAACTAGACCCTTCTCGAAGCGGTTTTGACGAAGGAAGTTCACATTTCGGCCTTTGATTCTTGGCAAAAATTTGACCACAACACGTGCGAAGCAACTGGGTCTCAAAGACTGAACTAAAACATTGTGAGCCCCTATTTTCCTGACGATATGTTTTATACCTACAAACGCCGAAAAGTTTTTTCTTTTCATTTAGCTATATTTGAAATTGAGGCCACGGGCTATTTTTGAGAAAATACAGTTCAAAGTCAAGCTATTTTTACATATTTTCAAAATTTGTCAAATTTCGCGAGCTTGTATTTTGAACTTAGACAGCTGAAGTTACATTAAGAAACATAGGATGGAAAATTTGAGGCATATAAAGTTAATTTCAACTTACATTTCATTCTCAAATCACGTCTTTCTTCGTTTATTACGGTTTTAAACAAGCCATAGATCGACGTATACTGTATTTACTCCCATGTTCACATCGCCATATTAACTTCTTCCAATCACGCGATTACAAAACAATCATCCCAAAACGAAGAATTCATGATCGACTTTTAAAAGAATAACCAATAATTTGTAAATCGTTGAATGGAAAGCAAAAAGTCGTCAGCTAAAACAGCTTCTTGCTAACTTTCTGCTTTGTTTTGAATTAAAATGCAATGAGCTTTGTTTCTGCCCGCAATTTTTTGGTCAGCGACGACAAATTTCCCACCTGTTGTACTGTACTGTACTGTACAATACAAGTTCATTAAATTCCCAGGGGTGTAATCACGTGCGTTTAAGAGCGGCTTAAGAACAATGAGATAATTTCTATAGTGTCACTTTTTTTGGGGACACCCTGTAGAGAGAAAAGTCACACCATCGACCCTTTTTACAATGAAAAGTACGAAATATTCCCTTTCTTCTCAAGACGTTAATTACAATCACATAGCAACAAGAACTAATCAACTCGAGTCTCCGTTGCAGGTAATTGAGGTAAGTGCAGTAAGTAATTTAAAAACGTTTGGTCTTGTGGTCAACTTATAGAGCAGGTGTACGACCTCAATGCATCATAATAACTTAAGGAACACATTTTATCGACATGGTCTTTCTAAAACATGTATCTTGTAAACTCAAGATAGGAATTTTTAAAAATAATAATTCCATATTTCGACATTAAAAATAGGCTTGAACAATAACCTTAAATTTTGTGCCTATAGAATTTACACAACGCCACGATATGAAAATGGATTATTTTTCCCATTATTTTGAATTGCATGTCTTTTGCAGAAAATGGAAGTTAAATGCATGATAAAATAAGCAAACTTTAGACATCTAACTATACGCCTGTACGTATCCAACATATATACCATTGACGCATGCAGATACATGAATAAACCGTTTTTATAGATCTGCATGCATTTTTAATTCTTAAAAAGGCAATAATATAATCAGGCGTACTATTCTACAATATATTTTTATTCACCAATCCACGGTTGAAATTTTGCAGTGCCAGTGCCAGTGCATTTTTTTTAAGCAGTGCCAGTTGGCAATTTAATGTGTGCCAATGACGATGCTTTAATCAAACCAATATAAACTGGTAGGGGGTTTTAAGAATGCAAAAATATAATCATTAATAGCATTGCCCTAGTATTGCGTCCTTAAATACTTAATTTATACCACAACTTTTACAATTGTATGTACAGGGTGTTAGCTCGAAGAAAAACACAAACTTATAAATTGGGAAATTCAGTCAGCCTAATAAGAGACATTTCTTAACTCGTAAACTCGGGTCTGAATATCGCGTCTTTTTAGCGGCATTCGGGTGGTTTTATAGCGCAAGGCCAAGGCACTATTGCCTAAGTTAAAAGCCTAGTTTGAAGTATCAACTGACATTGTTTTGCGTACCAAGAACAGATAAATATATTTTCGGTTATATATAGATGGCATATTTGCAACATTGATCGGGTTTCCAATTCGTCTTGAGCAAAGTTCCGAAGTTGAACAATCTTATCTTTTTATATCTATTCATGCTATTTTTGGCAAATCTGAAGTGGTCATGCATAAAATGAATGCATGCAGTGTTGAATAACTGTGAGAATTTAGTTCAGACCACTCGTGTTTGGAAAAATGTGAAAATTTGAATTCTTTTGGAGTATATATAACTGTAGATCACTTCATCAGCACTGTACTGCATATTCACAGACACAGCAGTGTGTGATCAAAATTTATCTAACTTGTCAGGCACATGAATAATAATATATTCATATTGTACATCATTTTTTACTTCGTATAATGCTTTATTTTTACTCACGACTTTTACTGAATATTACAGTATAGTGCTTGTTTGAAAAAGTTCAGCTGTCTAGACTCAATGACTCACTTCACTTGACGAATACATGTGTGCCATTTTTGTGACCAAATTTATAGCAAGGTCATTGAATAAGCAATATTATCAACTGAAGGGGCTCAGAACAAAACTACTGTATTGCCTGAATTTTTGTCAATTTTTTCACCTTGATATCAAAATAGTTCAGCAATCAATTATCATGTTACCATTCTGAATACCAACACGAATTCCAAGGCCTTACACCATCAACAATTCAACATGCTATAACATGATACTGAATTGCATGCATGCCATCAAAACCATACCTTACTTGGGCATGGTGAAGTAGTGTAAAGTACCCAATGGTTTTATACCTCTGGCTTAGCAACAGTTAAAACAAGGTCCCATCTTTAACAACATGAAATCATTGTATGGTGTTACTGTCAACAAAACATGGCATTATTGATACTGTCAACACAACTGAACAGGTGAAGCAACAACCACAAGCATAATACAGTTGTTTGTTACCTCTTATTCCCATCCCTAGTTCTGAAACCAAAGTTTAAGTGTTTCTTATCCATATCCTTATCTAGCTGTGAAATTATACGACAACCAGATTTTAATTCCTATTCAAAACAAAACCATATACATATCATTTGATAAGGTGTCAGTTGTACTGTAAATCTCTGAAAACCGGAGTGTTTAGTGTGGTTCAAAAAGTGACACAAAAAGTAAACAAGAATTTATATCTGATCAGTCACACAAACTCCACCATTTGCTCCCAGAAAGAAACAACTACAATCACCTTAGGGAAAATAGGCACTTTAACATTCCAACTCCAAGATGTAAAACCGAACATTTAAAAAAATATATAATTGCTAGTGTGACACAAGTTTGAACTCAAAGTTAGTTACTATTAGGTTATATCGTGTAGATTTGAATGTAATTTTTCAATTCAATGTTTTAGCCCATAATTAGTGTTAGTTTTTACTCATTGTAATATCTTTATAGTTCAGCTTATGCTGCAAGGAAGATTTTATTAAACGATATTCAATTCAATTAAATGCTAAAGATCCCAAGCCTCTTTTCAACTGAGAGATTTTGGGTCCAATTATCGCTTCGCACTCAACACTCTAATGTGAAAAGTCTGTCAGAGTATTGCAAAAAGTCATGTAGGTAATGTTGACAAGGTTAGTTACATACAACAAAGAAGTATATTCATGATCCATTAGAAATTGACATTTGTAACTTCAGTTAACCCATAATTGCACAAGACTCCCCCTTGCCGTCTGGTGTGAGATAAATAATAAAACAATAAAGTCATGTGTATTTGGGCATAGTGCAGCATAATGGTCAGGTTAACCCATCGAGTGGCAGCATTCTTCCCTTGATGAATAAAATTATCTGGCATTAGAGAGAGTAAAATCACAAAGTAAGCACAAAATTGTGAATAAAAGATATTCAAGAACTAAAATCAAATCCAAAATATGGATGTTTCGATCTGCGGGTAAATACAAAGCCTGACCAAAAAACATAGAACACAACAACAAAAAAGCTTTACTTAGAAGGTTCAAGTGTTTAGGTGTGGGATGTAAATGAGTAATATTGCTCAATTTGGTTGACAAAAGTAGATTTCACCACCACAAGAAATGCATCATCATTCTCAAGAAAACAACTTAAAATTTGAATTCGAAAGAAAAAAACATGCATCGATTTTATTTCACTGAGTTAGTATTCCCAAAATATGGTACTCAAAATAAATATCAAATATTGTGAATTCTCAACATTTAATAGGTGAAGTGGAATGATATTGAATATCCAAGTATTCAGTACTGTATGTTTGTATTATACTTTCATACTGTGCCAAAATATACAGTAGGAGTGAACAGGCACATAGTTCTATATAATTCGGTATTATTCCCAAAATATGGTGCTCAAAATAAGTATCAAATATCGTGAATTCTCAACATTTAATGGGTAAAGTGGAACGACATTGAATATCCAAGCACTCAGTGCTGTATGTTTGTATTATACTTTCATACTGTGCCAAAATATACAGTAGGAGTGAACAGACACATAGTTCTATATAATTCGGCCTTGAGCACAAAATTAGCCTTTCTGGGCTAAAGGGTGTGAATTTCTAATACGTAAACCTATCCGGTTGTTTCGTGTACAAAGGACTTCCGTTTAACTTAAACGGTATTAAACGGTATGTTCACATATTTTGCCATATCATGTTGCCATATCTCGTTCCATTTCAGTTATATATTACCTTTGGTGTATCTAAAAACGTCATATGTAAAAGTTGGGGTAAAAGTTTAACCTCACAGCACGAAAGGCACATTCTCTTTCAATATTTTGATGACATCCCGCCATTTTGATTAGACAAAAAATGTACTATATATTGTGGTCAACGAAGACAGGCATTCGATTGTGTGAGCGAGTTTAGTCAGTTCTGTCACGAAATTGGACTTAAATATATAATCCCTTGAATTAAAACGGCATCACACAATACGGCTAGCAATCACTCGAACATAAGTCACTCACAATACGAAAAAAATTGAGCTTCTTCTTGCGAAAGACTTCGAACTTTAAAACAGGAAGATGGCTTCATAATATCGTATATTAATATAAATCTAGCTAAATTACATAACCTCTTTCAAAACCTATAAGCTAGTGTTGAATAATGGCTAGAATCCACAATTCAAAGTTAAAAGAGCTTAAACCGAAGACGTTAATGCTATCAAATATTAAACACTATGCGAAGCAGACGTCCAAACATAACAACGCGTCTTCAAAATAAAATGCCTTAAATTCATTCGTAACTCACCATTATAAGCAGGAAAACGGCAACAAAAAGCTGGTACAAGGCCATGGCTAAGAACTTGTATTTATTTCGTCGTCACTCGAGGTATTTCTCTTCTTTAAAACACGAATCTTCGAGAACACAAACTATTTATTAAACGATCGTGGCGAACCAAAGAGTTAATATTTGCATCAAATTGATGCCTCGCAGGAAATGAGGTCACATGACCGGAATATATAAATCTTATAAATATATAACTAAGTTAATACTGACAGCTTATTGGCTGAATAGAAGAATGTATTATCAATATTCATATGGTATTATATAATATGCAAAAATAGCTTTAAGTAGTGTTTAAGAGCTATCCTAGCCTTGTCCGCAGGCAACTCTACAACCTCACAAGCCAGGCTCATTTTAATACATTCCCCGCCGCCTACCCCAAAAAACACAACAAAATGTCAAAGCGAGGAAGACTGAGTTCTTCATGGAGGTGTGATAAGATCAGTATGGAGACGTGACAAAAACAGTCTTAAATTTTACACTTCTAAAACCAGAATCTATTGATATTAGGAACTTTAAAACAAGCGATGATGACAAATCATAATATTGTAAAAGTATTACATGTCGTCCTCTTCTGTTTAGAACGTGAACGGCGAACCACAGATTATCACGATCTTGTATATAGAACGTGAATTAGGCCACATCACAAGCTGGGACAATGGTTCTTCAAATTGAATCCTAGAATTCAGTTTCGACCATAAATCGTTGTCTTAACCTCGATCCTGAAACTATATTTTGTAATCTCATATGATGGCCATGGACAAAAAATGTTCAATTAATATGACGGTTTTGTACGTTTGCCGTCAGTGGTAGCGTTGCCGCGTCCTACATGCTTTAAGCCTCTGCTCTGAGGATAGCTCGCTAATAAATATACGCAACGGCGTCCGGAGCGGGTGTTGCGGGTGAGGGAGGGCCGGAGGGGCAGCAGGTTGCGAAGTTGGCAACTCGGTAGCAAACTGCAAAGAAGTGGGCATTGTTTAGTACTAGTTGAAGGTATTGCAGATAAACTTGCTGTAAATGAACTATTGTGGATGGACTATTATGTTCATATACATGAACTTGTGGTTCGGAGGTCGACAACAGGCCTCTGTAGCTGATGTATTAGCTGCACTGGATTCGCAAGGCCGCATGTTCGATTCCTGCCTGCAGGGACCTTCTGTTCGCTTCTGTTCAAGGTTATAGGGGCGCTTTCCATTTAATGGTCTGACCGATCAGACCCAAATTCTTTTCTCTGTATCAATGCAATGATCTGGTCTATGTTTCTCAAATACCTAGCGAAAATGGACCTCATTCTAATTGTATCTAAATTTTTCGGTCAGATAAGGAACCGGTCATTATGTATGGCGAGGGGTGGCACCGAAGAGAAAAGGGTAATTGGGTAAACAAAATTTTGAGTGAGTAAAAGGTTGGGTAAATGAAAAACAAAACTCAAGGGTTGGGTAATACAAAATTATTGTCATTTCCAAAGCATGACTCACTCAATTATTGGAGACTAAAAAGCAATTTTTTTATTTTTTTCAGGCAATGTCAATATAATATGTGAATCAAGTCATTATCTTCATCATTTTCTAATTTGTCAGGAGACAAATGGTGTCTCCAAAGAAACTACATGTGCAGACAATATGAAACTTTAGATTGCAGAAAATTTCACAAGCCGTTAATCGCTATCAAACTCATGTCACAGAAGTGGCAATTAAAAGGATATGTGTGACAACTGAATGCATGGTACATATCCTTTTGTAAAGGTTTTGGCCAGGGGTGGGTATTTATTTTTTAATTGATATTCGAGGTTGGGTAATCAAATTTTTTACTTTTTAATGGTTGGGTCAGCAAAATTTTTCCCACAAAAAACGTTTCTCTTCGGTGCCACCCCCCACCATAAATAATGACCGCTCCCTAAGTCCGAAGCCCAAACGTTTTGTGTTTCATTCAACACTAATTTGACCGTTCTGACCGGTCTGGCCGTGTTAATGGAAAGCGTCCTAGGTCTAACAAATGCATATAAATTTCCACTCGATAATTTCAGTCTACAGTGCCCTTCAACCACTACTTGGGACCTTAGGCATGTAGGACGCGGCAACGCAACGAGGATGGCCAAAACAAAATTCTCGAAATAAATAATTTTATGGAAAACCTGTCGTGTAATATTATTCGTTGTACGAATTTATAATGCAGTTTTAGGAGGATAAGACGGAAGTTTATATTTAAGTAGACTCATGCAGTACTGACTAAGCCAGTTTGTCGAGTACCGCTTCTCGCGCGTTGTATACAAGACGTAAAATCATTAGTTTGCTGTTGTAAACCGAGTGAGGACGACGTCTAAAACTCCCAAGGGACTTTTAACTATTCATTTCTCAATAACGCTATCATAAATTCCATTGTATTAAAGGCCGTCGCCGTCTTGCTAGCTAAAGGTCCCTATATTCAATCGAGTGCGACGCCTACAAAATCTTGATATTGTTTAGTACTTCATGACTCAAAATCATGAAATATCAATTCTGCTCTCCCCTCTCCACTCTAAGCTTCGATTCCTTTCAAACAAAGTTACTTTTCTTCACTAAATTTTTATAGCTTGCTTATTTTCGAAAACGACGTGCTATTTCATAAAACTGATTCAGTTATCGGCCATGAAGTTTAATACTTGCTGAAGCATGCATTCAAAGTAGTGTACATTATAATTTAACTGTTTAGAGAACCCAGTTGTCTTGCTGTATAAGCAATATTCGTACCAAGGTTGACCTAAGACTGCCATGACAGCTCCATTTCCGGCCTACTTTAACACAACCATGCACCTACTCAGAATAATTCTGAAAGCCTTGCGGGGATGTAATTGATCCTCATCTCGAGCAGCCCTAAGCCTCCGGACAACTCAGATTTATATCTGAGGTTCGTACGGTTGTGCCCAGATTAAACCCAATTTTCATTTATAGCCCATCAAATATTCGTGGACTGAACAACAATAACATTGATGTATTAGTACTAATAATCAGGGATGTGGCGACCGGGGGGTGTACTATGTGTAAATAGTGTAATTTATAATCTCTATGGGGGTGTAAGAGTTTAACACACGCTCACAATATTTGTTTATGAGTAATGTCAGGTAATGTAAATTGCTGGCTCGATGATTCTTTCTGATCATGATTTTCAGGTAAATTATGACAGCATTAACTGGAAAACGTTGATCGATGTTAAAAGGGAAAGCAAGCTATAAAGAATGCCAAATTTTATTTGCATTTTCGGCCATTCTGAGTGTCTAAATATTCAAAAATTTGAATAGTATCATCCCTCAACCCTCCTAATCCTCCTATTGGACATAGACTCGTATCCCATTGTGCTAATATCCCAATGTGCGGCAATTCTGCTTTCGAAACTAGAAACACCTGCTATTTGCGGAGTTGCAGTGGCAAGCTAGCCATAGCAACAGGTCATGCTATGCAAATTTTTACTGATTTGCATTACTCAAACTTTTACAAATGCATTGTCTTTTACCTATGTAAATACAGATTTTTTAGCATAGCACCAGTTGCTATGAAAAAACACTTTAAAAAAAACTGTAACGTAAAAAGTAATTTAACTAAAAATCAGGTAATTTCTCAAAATATTCTGAAGCGTCCAAATATGGAAGCAGCTGTTCGAAATGTGGACATGAAAATGAATTACCAACCTCGTACCCAGGGCTTGCCCGCCCCATTTTCGGTATCGTTCCATGTTTCGCGCACCAATATAGGTTAGGGTTAGGGGTCAGGGTTAGGGGTTATAGGGTTAGGCTTAGGGTTAAGGTGTGTATATATGTTTATGGAGGTATCCAGTTGACTTTGCAGTATACACTATAATATCCATTACATAATTAACGTTTACTATATTGGTGCGTGAAACATGGAACGATTACCCGATTTTCTATCGCGACCATATTAGAAGGCCCTGGGTACGAGGTTGATGAATTACTTGTTATCGATTTTATAGAAAAAATCAAGAACGTTAGCAGTCCATCTTTGAGGTTCTGTAAGAATCTTCTAAAAATGTTAAACCCAAAAATAATATGTAAACCTGACTTCACTTTTTGGAAATGGGACTGAAATGCTGTATTTGCTTTTCGGCACTTTGCATTTTTGGTTGGAGATAAATACATTTTGGGCTTGAAACAAACCCCATAGAAGTCAGTTCAGTCTATTTTACAATCTAATTACAATTTTCATTTCAATTTTAAGAATTTTAGATGCCACTAGCTTTGTAAACTGTCGAAACCTGAGAAATTTGTCGCTAAAAATAACTCTTTCGTCTGACTACGGTCAAGATATCGTAAAAAGCTGCCAGCTCTACATGCAGCCAATCCGATTGCAGGAAAACGTTCGGTCGAAACGCTGTTTGTCCTTATCGCTAGCTATACTTGCATGTAATGACTTTGCGAGATTATGTCTTTTTATATTTTTAGAAATATCCTTAATTAACCACATCAGATTTTAGTGTGTAGTGATAACGAATTTGTTATTTAACAAGAAAATGAGGCAATGAGCAGAACTGAACTAAAAATTCGTCTAATTGACAGTATTGATCAAAATATTTTGAATGAAAATAATTTGAATGAAATTGAAAAGATAGCTGCCAAATTATCGAACGTTCGCACCAATATTATACTTAAGGTTCATCAGATGAACAAAGTCTCTCACCAAAGATCTCTTTAATTATGACCTTGGATGATGAAATTAGTGTATAATCTTCAGAATTCTATAGAAAGTCCTCGTACTGTACATTGCAGGAAATTCCCTTTTAGAAAGAGAAAGCCGATATCACAAAATGTTCTGTGGGTGCATGACCCAGGAACTACTCCTCTAGAACGGGTTTTTCACTCCTAAGACCCTTTCATTTGCCAATTAATACGAAAATATTTCTTTCCTGCAAGCATTTGTGATTATGAAACTATGCTGTCATAGATATAGTCGTCACTGTTGCTGCTGTCAAGGCCGCCCAGAAGGGTCGGGAGGGGACAATTTTTCCTGGAGCCTCGGTTAAAGGGGGGAGAAACCCAGGGTCAAATTTGACTTGGGATTCCCCTCGTGATTCCATCTTCTAACACTATATGATTAGGTGGATCCGGAGGCATTACCCCCACTCAGAAAAGTTTGAAATCTGAGGTTCCAGAAATGGCTATATCGTTCATTCTGGAAGTCTGTTGACAGTTATATATCTATGTATATTTTACTGTAATTCTTATAGCTTTATTGCAGTGTATGTTGGTTTTGGCATTTTTAAATATCAATTGTAGCCTGTTTTGTGGTTACAGATTATTATAAGGGTGTGTTTCGGGACATTTTTTTACGCAAAAATGTGCAGTGATAAAAAATTCTAAAAATTAGTTTTGATAAACAAGAAGTTTTGATATAATGCAGATACGAAATATCGTTTGTTATATAAATTGGTTTGCTGCATATCAAGAGACAAGAGTCACATGTTATAATTATCAGTAGGCCTATTATCTCTCGATCGATTTCTTTGAAGTATCGAAATGGAATGCCCAGACAAGTATCTTGGAATTGCCACTTGATATCTATGTGCACATGCAGTTATGCGGTATCAACATCTCACAACAAATAACAGAAAACGACAATGTTTTCAAAGGGAATGGCAATATTCATCAAGGCTTTGCTATCATTTCAAAACACTGAGAAACCTGTCCATTGAATGTGTGTTCAATTAAACTGTCTGAACATGCAATGGAACAAAACTGTATATGGTCTAGGAGATAGCTGCGTGCAAGGTTAGCTGCAAAACTTGAATTATTCAAATGCAGTAAAACGTAAAAATGTGCGCAGTACTAATTTCAATAAAAATGGTTATACTGCCATCTTTTATTCATACTAATTACCAACAATCCAGAACTGCTCGATAAGCCAAATGGTGTTATGGAAGCTACTAATTAGTTAACAATCTATATGTATATATATATATATATATATATATATATATATATATATATATAGAATTTCGCTTATCTTGCGGAATTATATAGAATTTCGCTTACCTTGCGGAATTTTGAGGTAAGCGAAATTCTACATTTGCTCTATCTTTATGATATTGAGCACTCTTTGCGTTTCGTATACACAAACCTACTCGTATATATATATATATATATATATATATATATATATATATATATATATATATATATATATATATATATATATATATATATATATATATATATATATATATATGTAGTAATCTATATAGTTTAACTTTTTTGTCATTTTTGTATCAACGCTAGCATTCTGCATCTTTTTATCATTCTGATCAATAGACGCAGGGTACGCTAAAGGCCTATACCTATTTTTAGGTATCACAGATCCTACGGGGTAAAACCAAAAATTGCATCCAAGGGTTTTCATTTTTTTCTGCCAGAAGGATTGTGAAGGACCTCTCAATAGGGGGGTGTCCATGCATATTATTAAATTGATGGCCAATTTCACAGGAAGTACACAGAAATTATGTCACTTTCACTGGTTTGAAATAACAAATCATGAAGCCAAGCAAGTTATCTACGACAAGTTTTCATATGTGACTAGTTTTATTTTGTTCAATTGCACGTGTGTACGTAAAACAGATTTTCTATGACAATTAAGTTTTAAATTTAGTTTCCTGACCGCCACGATGGCTATTATTAGATATTACAACATAGATTGCTGACTAACCGTAATGTATGCAAGTGCTCTAGCTCAAATTACTTTGTCAAATTTTCTTTGTTGATCGGTACAGACGAACAAAATTTGTACTTTGCCAAGTTTTTTTGTGACAAGTGCACTCGGCGGTATAGCATACTAGCTTTTGAACACGTGTACTTGTCATAGTAAAAATATGGTAAAGTTGCTTATGTGGTCATGGGAGAAAAGGTATGATTCAATAAATAATATAATAGTTTCTAAAGCGCCCACGCTTGATAATTAGCAGACGCGAAAGTACACTGTACTTCCGTATATATACGACTTCCGTATATAACCGCCTCTCAGAGAACATTGCGCAAACCTCAGTGTCTACCAAACTTCTAAAACACTCGAATTGAAATTCGAAATATCGAAACATGTGACTGTCGATGACATTTTCAAGTCGTGAACTGGAGGAAAGCATGCACGCAAGGAGTGTGTTACTATATATACTTGAGCCGTGATTACACTGGAGATTGAAATTTACCTGAGATGCCTGGCTTTAAGCCCTGCGACCAATTGAATTAGACCCACGCAGTCCTAACTGTTCTGCGTCGGTCCTGAGTAAGGTCATATGAGTCATTATTCAGTTTTATGTTTTTGAGGAGAGGGTGATTGGTTGGGTGCGCGGGGGGGAGGGCATACAAAACATTTCATCTCCTTTGAGGAGGGCATTAAATATTTTGCGACGCTTTTCGAGGGGGGGAGGGGGGGTGCTGAATTTTATGGTCCACATGATACTTTATGACCGGTCCCTTAGTAGGCTAAAGAGAGCTGCATGGAAAATAAATAGTTTTAATCAGTTTACCCTTTTATTCAGTCTTGTTGAGTAGAAAAGCATTTACATAAAAAATAAAGGCTTTTTATCGTTGTCGTTTTAGCAATATGTCAGCATGCTTGGACTAAAGTAATAAACACAACAGATCTCATCTAGTTCGCAACACTAGAGGTTTTTTTTAGGAATTTAATTAAGCATCAAGCAAAAATATAAATACGTTATTTACCGTTATTTTAAGACCACGGGAAAATATTTTTCAGTACGGACCTCCTATAGCTGGTAAACTAGAAGTTACTATCGCAAGGAAAGTGCTGCCTCACCCTCAAGGGATCAAAGGCAGCATGCGCAATTTGCAGAATAAGGGGCTGTTTTTATGATCTAGCCTCCTCCGCAGGCAACTCTTTGGCAAAAATATTATGAATAACAGCGAATTTAAAGTTAGGGATTGTTAGGGATCACAGAGCGTAACCCTATAATATTCACATTTTTGCCAATTTTTTATTCATAATAATATTTTTGCCAATTCTTGCCAAAGAGTTGCCTGCGGAGGAGGCTATATATGATCCTGCTTTGCCAGGACGAGATGCCAGGCAGGATTATTTTGATGTATTACTTCTAAAATAAATTACTGTGCACGATTCAGCAAGGTTGTTCAAGCAGTATAATAATCTTCTTGAACTACAACATTTGAATTCTGTTGACTTATTTCAATACATTAAAATCACCCGGATTCCAATATTTACAGTAAACAGCCCCTAAGACACATGTTCATGAGGTAGGAAAAGTACAATTTGAATATCAAACACCTTGCACAAAGTCAAAGGTCAGCTAAATGTTCTATTTCTACTTTCTTGGCATTGGGCAGTTTTATATGAACACCTTCAATGTTTATAATTTCTTACTTTTGTATGTATAATTACAATATATGCAGGTTTATTAGGATAGCATGACCATTTGACATGGCTAGCTAGCCACTGAATACTGTATAATATCATATATACAGTGTGTCTAAAAAAAGTGAATCCTTTCAAATTTGACAGCTCTAATTGCTTTGAATTAATGATTGGGTAAGAACACAAGGTCTTGTACTCATGGGACAAAACTCAAAGAAATAAAAATTAGAAAATTTAAAAGAAATACAGTATTCCTTGTGTTCTTACCTAACTATTAATTCAATGCAATTAGACTGGTGTCAAATTATTACAATATAGCTAATTTGAATTTGAAAGGGTTCACTTTTTTTTGAGACACACTGTAGAAATACTAAGTCAGTTTTTGTCCCAATTATTATTTACATGGCACCTTCAAGGCTACCCCTATTGCATGCAAATCAACCGAACAATCTGATAGGGAGACAAAATCTATTTGTTAATATTTTTGTTTAATTAATATGTCAGCTTCAGATGACACCATTCATTGCACTCAGTCAGAGATTGTACTCAGTCAGAACTACAAAACTATATAAGAAAGAAATTGTGAGCATTATCGAAGAATATTCTTGGGTTTCATATGACGTCACAGAAGTGACAGGGGGGGGGGGTCAACTGTAAAACAAAACACAGTTATCAGAGTGAGTCGATTGTTTGTTTTATGTATTAGCCTTGTGTTTGGTGGCAATACATGGAATTTCGTATAATTTTCTCACTCCAGTACAGCATAAGCATCAATACATGTGAGGTTGACCCCCCATCAGATCCACTGCATAATGCCTAGTTAGTGAAACCCAAGAATAGCATACCCGGAAACATATTGCATGACACAGCCAGGTGAATGTATGAGTATAGGTCGGTAGGATTATTTCATATTATGTTAAAGATGCTGTACAGTCTGATCTGCACACGTGGACAAATGAGGAGCCCTCTTTTTAATATACAAACAGTTTATTTAGGTTTTATTTCGTTTTATGTTCTTGCAAAGCTTGATTGTTGTCAATGTTGTGTCTTTATAATTTATTATACTCTAGAATGTCTAGAATCACGAAAATATAAATAGTTGTCGAATAAAATTCTATATTTTGGATACCGAAATGTAAACAAAGCCTTTGTTTACATACGGACTGTACCGCATCTTTAACAATGGAGATATCTCAGACATATAAACAGGCCATCAGGCATGCATGATACCCGTCCTTGTACAAAAGTCAGTTGACATGCTATTTGCATGTAACTGCTGGTAGCCTGCTATTAAAAGTTAATATATACAGACAACAATCCCCACACTGGGTTGCTATAGGAAGCCTGATTACGTGCACAAGTATTAACAGTCCGTCTGTCCGCGTTTGTTTTTAAAACGTGCTGAAAGCACCATTGCTATAAAGATCTAAAATGAACACTATATAAATCTCATCGCCACACAAACAAATAAACTCAAAGTACATTTTCAAGCTCCTTGTATATAAAATAAGATAGCTAGCTGTCATTATTGACATCATGAAATCATGTTTCAATACCTCTGTATCGAATGCTATAAAGCAGCAGATCTAAGTGCCTTCATGTATATCACCAGAAAGAAATAAAACCATTCTTACCTGACTTATTCTTTGATATTCGTTCGCAATCCAACATATAAACTCGTATGATCTCGTATTAAAATTTTAATTAAACTGCTTGCACAAACGCACAATACAAAATAAAGTTTGACCGCCCCCCTCGTTAAAAAAACTTCCTGAAGCTTAATTATTCCTCCCGGAAATCATCTTAACAGACAGCCGGACAGACACAAATCGAGATCTCGACAATACATAGATCGCGCGAAAGACTGGGTCGAGTGGACTCTGGAGAAACCACCGCGTGTCAAGAATAGGGTGCTGCCTTCGGCAGCAACAAGCCTCTAGTCCTGGGCTAGGGTACATTTTGATTTACGATGGACAAAGCTACATTTCGGTCGGACAGTAATTCACTCGGGTCGGACAAACAATAAACCTCAGTTTCACTTAGGTCGGACAGAATGTCCGGTGGTTTCCTCTCTACGTCGGACAATTTCACGAATGGGTCGGACAATGTCCGTGACCGACCGATATTTTAAGGCCTGCCGGACTGGTTGTAACGGATTTATAAACCTTTTATCGAAACTGTTCCAAGAACGGACTGTCCAAAGTCTGAGGTATTGCCTTTCCCCAATTATTATAAGTAAACGCATGTTTTGAGGGAAATTAGTAATTAAATGACCCCGCAAACGGAGGAAGGTTTAGTAAAAGTCCCGAGGGCGTAGCCCTCGGGACTTTTACTAAACCTCCCGAGGTAATAGTTAATAAGTGTACAAGTGTAATTAGGTAATAAGTGTGCAAGTTGAATGGCGGGTTGGCCCGATAAAAACCGGCCAACCGGCCATTCAACATTTGCCCAATTTAGGAAAGCAATAGCGGAATATTATTAATAGTAACTAGTAATTTAACTGGCAATTTACCACACGGCAATCTTGTAAACCAGTTCATGGTGTTTTTTATATTAATAATATACATAAAGATATTACTCGACTGTGATTGGTTGATTTCAGGGCAGTTAATTAATCCCAAAGAGCAGTGCAGTTTTCTGTAATCACAGTTCAATTTGTTGTAATCACAGTGCAATTTTCTGTAATCACAGTGCAATTTTCTGTAATCACAGTGCAATTTTCTGTAATCACAGTGCAATTTGTTGTAATCACAGTGCAATTTTCTGTATTAAATCACAGTGCAAAAATCTGTAACAAACTGATCTGATTGGTGGAAAAACATTGTGATGATTAAATAAACCAATCAGTTTAAAGCAATTTAGTTTAAAGAAGTAACGGTCACAGATTGCTTCAAAACAAAACAAACATGGCGCCGCGCCACACAAAGTAAAAGTTGCCTTCGCGTTGAAAATATGGCTTTTATCTTTATTTTTAAATGGAAAAGCATTTATCTCAAACAAGACTAACAAAAATTACATAGTTGAGTGGAATTTTCAAGCTGTTAGCGTAGTATAATGTGATATAACAAAGCCAGGAAAAGTTTGCCAGTGGAATGTTCGCTATAAACGCGTAAGTTAAAACTACAATTGTCTCGAACATTTTTATGTAAATTATTAATAAGTAATAGGCTAAGCATGATTTCTCGTAAAATTTGGATAAACATGCACTCGTGAGTTTTTCAAAGACCTCAAATAGAACTCGTCCTTCGGACTCGTGCTATTTTGAGATATTTGAAAAACTCACTGGTGCATGTTATATCCAAATTGCGCTCGAAACCATGCTATTACCTATACTAATAACGTGCTCAAAGTGATGAACAGAACTGCCAAGCCTAAGAAATAAAGCCATATCATTAGCAAAAACTGCAATGGAATGAAAGCAACAAGTATTTCGAGATACCTTTCTGTGCATATTTTTTCTACTTTCATGGCGCAACTATTGTTTTTTGGCATTATTATGACGGAAGCCAACATTTGGTAAAATTTTTCTTAATTTAGTAAAATTTAGTAAACTCGCTGGAAATTATATAAAATGGTGTACTTTAATATTGAATTAAAGAAACGTCTGGGTATGAGCCGGGCATGCGAGCGCTCTATTCATAAATATCTGGTCCTTCACCGTCACGTGTGTATTGTACTTTGGCAAATGCACCAATAGCAATTTCCAATTTACCACACGGATAGGGAACTATCCTGAAACATTGCTATTGGTTAGTTGGGCAAAAATACAATATATATACGCACATGACGGTGAAGGGCCATATTTATGAATAAACGTTGACTAACATGGACAATGCATGAGTTATATTGTTGTTTTAATGAGTTTCCTAACCATCTATTCTATTAACTCTGCCTCAACACACGTCCGAGCGAGTCGTATTTGATTCAACGGCAAAGAAGTAAAATATGTTTACGGCTCAGAATTACTTCAATTGAATGCCTTAAAAGTCATATAAAATTATTAACATAATAACAAAAAATCATGACATGGTCAAAATACAATTGTTGTTTACCTTTTTTGCAGCGAAATAATGGTCTAACGAGGCAAAATTTAACACACAAAAATACCTCACTTTCCAACGCTGTGTATTCAATGCTCAACTCCGAATTTTATGAAAACGTTTGGAAATAAGCACATGTTTATAATTTTTACGATCAAATGAATTTCGTAGTTGGACGATTGATATAATGTCAAATGCTTTTTTGAAATCGTCCCTCCATCGAAGACGAAGTAATCAAAAGTCCGACTCATTATCCTCAATATTTCATTAAAAACTTAACTATACGATACACTAGTTACTACTTGTCGTTACAGTGCAAAAACATCCCCGAGAATTTCGTAGTTAATAAAAAAAAACAGCGAAATACAACAGCAGGAAAAATCACGCTCCTTCTGCCGAAAGTGCCCTGGGGCCGGTTGTCACTTTTTTAATCAATTTAATCACTATTTTGTAGTTAAATAGTGATTAACTCTCAAATAGGCGCTTCTTATTGGATGACGTTTCCACTTCACTATAGTTAACTTTTATCATTTTTTTATACAGGGTGTCCAAAAAACCCCCGAAAACCATTGAAATCACTTATTGCCAATTGAATGCCCTACCAAAAAGCTGAACGTAATGATGCGTAAAATATTGACAACTCATGTATTAAAATTTAGTTAAGAACATCCTTGTAAAGTGCGCGATTTTTTGCTCTTTGGAGTTTAAAGCAGCTTCTTAAATAGTTTCTTTATGCATAAAATTGACTTATGTCAATCATTTATGCACTCGTGGGAACCAACAGAGTGCTAAGGCATTCAAATTCTAACAATTAAATTGTTATTGGTGATTTCAATAGTTTTCGTTTTTTGGGGACACCCTGTACAACCGACCCCTGGTTTGCTGGAAAAATCTGCATTTACCAATCAACTATACTTGTTGAAAGGAGTTGTTGATACTCGAAATTTCGAATCAAATGTTCGCATATTTATTAGACAAAACCAGTAGCAGTTGCGAACTATAGTCCCTCTGGCAAGACCTGCGGCAATAGACCTTTCCCCTTATGAGTGAAATTTTGATCTAGACAAACCTGGACAAAAGCATCACAGCTTGAAAGAGCATCACAAAATTAGCAATATTCCGAAGTTAATATAAGCCTTGCGAAGTTTGCCGTTTTCAGTCATTTTGCATTACAAATGAAATTGGTAATCAGATGATCGAACTGATTATTAATTTCCCATCTGTAATGCAAAATGATTGAAAAACGGCAAACTTCGCAAGGCTTATATTAACTTTATATTAACTTCGGAATATTACTAATTTTGTGATGCTCTTTCAAGCTGTGATGAAATTTGTGTTCAGACTTGTCTAGATCAAAATTTCACTCAAAAGGGGAAAGGTCTATTTGTTTAGGTCTTATGAATGTATAAAAATTCCACTCGACATTTCCATCTACAAATCCCTGCAAAAGTTATACCAAGTGAGATGCCCCAAATCCTGAGTTTCATTTTGCAAGATTATCAACTATAATAGCGTTTCTTCAAAGTTCTATACTTTCGCAACATATACAAAGCTTCCAGTTCTTTCACAACATAATTTCCTCGATCAATAAGTAGCTGAATCTGTTCTGGGTTTGTGACATCTTTATTCTTCATGAATGCTTGATGTAATCTCGTGTGAAAATATTCCTTGCCGGCGGGGTATTCTTTGCCAAGATGATATAGCTGTGGGGATAATAAAGATTTAAGCTCTCGCCAAATGAGGGTTGATGAGAGTTGACTGCAGGATATTGAGCGCCGGTCAAACGAGGATGAGAATGGACATTTGCATTATACACTAAATTTTGATCTAAACAAGTCTAGACAAAAATTTAGACGCGGGGGAAATTGACAGCCCAATACCCTTTAGGGCTGTCAATTTGCCGTTTGTAATACAAAATGACTGAAAAATGGCAAACTTCGCAAGGCTATATTATCCGCATTTTACAACATTTCGCAACGAAACTTCGGAATATTACTAATTTTGCGATGCTCTTTCAAGCTGTGATGAAGTTGTTGTCTAGACTTTTTTAGATCAAAATTTAGTCTATAATGCAAATGGTCCATTGACGAAAGTTCCAACTCTCGCTCGCATTTGACTGCAAGTTTTTGCCGAGGGCCTAGCTCAGGGTTCCCAAATAGAATTTCGAGTCTAGGAGGAGTTTTGAAAGGAGTACGTGGCTATGTGATGCCGAAGGTACCACTCCCATGCGAGGGGGAAGTCCTAGGGCATTTCTCCCATCAAGATCTTGAAATTTAGACCGCGGCTCTGAAATGGCATTCCTATAGTAATTTTGGGGAGTACTCTCATGGAGATTGCTGTATTATCCAAATATTTGCAACTCTTGTTCTTGAGATAAAAATAATTTTTTAAAAATAGTTTTCTTTGTTTAATCTGCAGTAACATCGAGCATCACAATTTCCTTATGACAACTTAAAGAGATACGGCAATATATTTTTTTATTATTTCATTTTAAAGAACTTTTAAAATTATATGTAAATCTCTTTTACCGATTTTACGTAACTTTATTATTTCTTGAAATATTTTGACTTAAAATAATTTGCTGTCCGCCATCTTGGATTAATTTTTATCTCATTATCGGTGATTTTAGTGACGTCAAAAGCTGGGTTAGCCATATAAAACTACATCTAAATGACCAAATAACATTAAGTCTTGTTTGAAAAGTCGTCAGACAGTTTTTTTATTTCAAATAGTTACTGAAGTATATATGATTTTGGGCTCATAATAACCAATTGCTCTACGGATAAAATTCTTGCGTGACCCTGCTTATGATGTCACATGCATAGAGATTATAAATGACACTAGAGGAGGCATTGTAATCTTAATTCAGTAAAAAAAAGGGAACGCGACTATTGGGGGGCAAATTCAAGTCCCGGATGTGTATTCGTGTTCCCATTGGTGACGAGTTTCAAATCAGCCAATGAGAGCACGATTTTATATCCGGGACTTGAATTTGCCCCCCATTAGCTGCGTTCCTATTCCTAATTTTTAACCTCGATGCCTCCTCTAGTGTTATTTATAATCTCTATGGTCACATGCATATCCGCCAAAATCCAAGATGGCGAAAAGCTCGCTGATTTGTGATTTTTTCTGTTCAACAAATCTCAAGAAATAATCAAGTTACGCAAAATCGGTAAAAGAGATTTATAAATTATTTTTCAAGTTCTTCCAAATGAAATAATAAAAAAATATATTGTCGTATCTCTGTAAAGTAAAGTAAGACTAAAGTAACTATATGGTGCATTGTAGTTTGATTAGCCTGCGAACAGGCTCTCAAGCTGAATTGAGAGCCTGCATCGATGACTATTGAATTTGAATATCTGCCCCGTAACGTTCGCTTTTCCAAATATGGAATGTCTATAGATCGGAAGATGTTGTTTACAACTTTCGTGCAAACTAAATTTAGACCGTGCAAACTAAATTAGACCGTACAGTTTATACTGTTTTTCGAAATATAAGATGTTCAAGCAAAAGTTGAAATATTTTAAATACTGTTTTCTCAAAACAGAACATTTCATGCTTTGAGATAAGACGGGCAAGACCAATTTGATCAGTTAATGTGTTTTTTATGCATAGTGCTTCAGCAGTTGACATATATAGAGCTCAGCGGAAACATATAAATTGTAGCATCTGACATGAGAATTTCGCGTCACGATTTGAGACGCAGATATTCAAATTCATTAGTCATCGATGCAGGCTCTCAATTCAGCTTGAGAGCCTGTTCGCAGGCTATGGTTTGATGAATTAACCTGAACTGCCACGCAACACTCACCCAACTTTATTGGGTCAAGTATATCAGACGGACATGAGGACATCCAAGGTAGGATGTGGGTAAGATTCTGAAAAGCAGTTCTGGAAAATGTCCGGCAATTTAACAAAAATAAATTTGCAGGAAATTTCTTACATATCGTAGGAAATTTTTGTCATCTTACACTGTATATGCCCTATAATTTACCTATTATTGTTTACAAAAGTGTTTTGCAAGTCGAGATTGTCTTGTGCCGAAAGTGAAGTTGATCACAATGAGCGCCACCATATGTACATTCTCTGAAATCCACATACAGCTATTTCAATTAAGGTTGTCCACATGAAGCAAAGCGGAAAAGTCGAATACTAGCGCGAAAGGCTGCTGGGGATCGCTGACAAATTAATGAATTTTCATAGCAGCCTTTCGCGCGCGTATTCGACTTTTCCGCTTTTAGTCCAGTCAATATGTGAGCAGAGGTCAAAGAAATTGCAATAGAATTTTTCAGTGGTAAAATGTGAAGGTAGGTGTCCTGATTAACATACTAAAAATAAAAAAAAATCCCTTCGGTGGAACATGGTGAAAATCGAGTTTTTCTTACTTCTACCTATAGAAAACCATTGTGGACAGAATGTTCAAATTTTGAAATCATTTTTAGGCAAATGTAATCTACAGTACATTATTGGAAAGCTTAAACAAAACTATGTAAAGGTCAATTAAACCGTTATATTCAATTTATTGGTCAGTTTGTCGTTATTCTAGCTCAAAGTTGGAAAAATAGCGCAAAATTTGCACAAAATACAAATTTATGGCATTTTAAATCTTGTATAACTTTGGCTGGATAGGCAAAAGCAAGATAACCGTTTAATGATCTATATTTTAGTTTTTTCTAAGCTTTCCAATAATGTAGGTTACATTTGCCTAAAAATGATCTCAAAATTTCAACATTCTGTCCACAATAGTTTTCTATAAGGTGTGAAGCCATGTGAGGTCATGAGCAGACGTGCTTTGTTGAGCTCTCTAAAATTTCAAAATTTTTGTAATACAATCCAATACAACACACTTGAATGGATGAAAAATTATATGAAAGACTATCCTGACGATTATTAGCGATTGAAAGTTGTTTATTCATTTGTACAATGAACAATATGGCAACCAGCTTAAGCGATAAGCTATGCATTGCATGGTCAGGTACTTATGAGTCTCTAAAACAGTTTGTAAGTGAAGATTTACAACTCAAAGGAACTTGGGAACAGCCTGGAGGTGATAGGAAGTTGTTTAGTTGTGATACATCAACTATACTATGGAGAAAGAATAAGGGATTGCTTTCCATCAATGGAGAAAATGCGACCGAAATCATGAGAGAGTTATGTAAACGGATGTGTAATTATCATGCAAATAATTCACAAGTATCTGCCTCAGCCCACACTCAACTATCAAATGAATTATGTGATGATGTGCATACGGATATTGAAAGTCTAAAACTGGGTCAACAAATCAATGGCGAAGCAATCCAGTCTCTATCGGCCTCTATCTCGTATATAACTTCTCAGTTACAAGATTTGGTGAACAAAAACAAGACTGATTCTGATATTTCCGCTTTGCCAAAGCAACCTTGCGTACGGACGAGCTTACTGATTATGTAGATGCCGACAGTGCTGGTGTTGATAATTCTTTTGTCATACAAGAATCGACTAATCCTCGAACGAACAATGGGAGCACTACCGAACCAAGGCCAATTAATCGTGAAGAATACAATAATCAGTTTAACGAGTTAAACGGGAATGCTTCCGTAAATCCTATAGAAGTGAACCCAAATAGTGCATCCGCTGATGTTTCTATAGAAGATAATAATAGTACGAAAGCACATCACCCTACCTACGCAGAAAAAACGGCTAATCAAACCGCTACCAAAACAAACCACCAAGATCCTATCAAGAATAACCTAAGCAAGAATTCGGAGCATACCTCGCAGAGTGTGGTTTCTGAGGCCGGACAGTCGCCTGATGATTTTATTGGAGTACAGCGTAAACGTGGTAAGACTAAGAAATTGTTCGTAACGGGAATCGCTGAAAGTGTAAACAAAAGTCAAATCCTTTCTTACCTCAATCAAAGAAATATTTTCCCCACTTATATCTCGGTTTTTCGAAGCCGCCGTCGAGAGACTCTTTCGTGTAAACTCCATATACCCTCAGGCGCCAGTGCACTGGTGGAGAAGGAAAACTTCTGGCCCACGTTTGTTACTTGCAAACCATGGCGACCAAAAGATCATGACATGAACACAACTCAGAAGAAAATAAACTCGACCCAGAATGGGAGCTACTCAACCCTTGTATAATGGCGGAGACACCCTTGCAAAACATTTCTACAGTACACGGTATGGGAAGGTCTAGAAGACAGCATTTCGGCCGACTCAAACCAATGTGTACTCGAAATCTCAGTAACCTTGTTAAAATTCCTATTACCAAAACTCATTCTCCAAGAACTGAATTCGTTCCCAAAATTATGCTAACTAATGTCATGTCTCTAGTTCCTAAGCTTGACGAGCTACGTATTTTGACCTCTGCACAAAGTTTTGATTTGGGTTTTATAACTGAAACTTGGCTGCGAGAGTCCGTTTGTGACACCCACGCGACTTTATTTGATTACCACCTCGTGAGGCGGGATCGTAGTCTTGGTATCCACGGTGGTGTCTGCATGTACATAAAGAATTCCATCCGTTTCAAACGATTACCTGAAATTGAACATTTAGACTTTGAGGTTTTATGGACACACATTAGACCACCAAGATTACCAAGGGGAATTAACGGCATTGTTTCTGCGTGCGTCTACCATCCTCCAAGTTCCTGCAATACAGATCTTTTTCAATACCTATCAGACTCACTGACACTACTGGAAAGTCTTTTTCCAGGTTGTGGAATTATTATTGCTGGTGATTTTAACCACTTTGACACTAAAGATCTTTGCCGAGATTTTCAGTTAAAACAATTGGTTGATAAACCAACTCGTGGTGCCAAGATTTTGGATCTTATACTTACAAACATGCATAAATTTTACGATGTACAACCAGCCATGGTTTTCCCTCCTTTCGGATTATCAGACCATAATGTGATAATGGTTGAGCCCAAAGTTAAAACATCATCAGAAACCACAAGTAGAAAGACAGTAATAAAAAGAGACATTCGTCAATCACGCAAAAAAGAACTTGGTCGATATCTGAGTAACTTTGACTGGCAACTTATCGATTCCTCCGAACCGTGCGATAAGAATTGTGATATCTTATGCTCCGCAATAAAGACGGGTTATGACATCCTTATGCCTGAGAAACACGTTAAATTCCATCGCAACGACAACCCATGGATAACCGAAAAATTGAAACAGCTGATCAAGTTTCGACAACGTGCGTTTTCATCTAATAACACTACTCTTTTCAAATTCTACCGAAATAAAGTGAATAGAATGAGAAAATCTTGCCGGGCAGACTATTTTGCTTCAAAAGTTGCTAATCTGAAAAAGTCTAACCCCAAATCTTGGTGGACAGAGGTTAAACGTATCTCCGGTATGAGACCTGTATCTGGCAGTTTGCTTAACCAACTTCATGTCGAAGATACAGAACATTTAACACACAAAGTTTTGCAGATTTAATTAACAAAAGCCTAATAGAACCAATGAATACTTATGATCCCTTAAATGTCACAGATTTGAACACCTTGTTTGAGGAGATTCCTGATTATCCGTTAGATGTAAACATGAATTTGACAAATACTGCATCGGTCTTGAAAAAACTGAAAAGCTTGAACCCGCATAAAGCTCCGGGCCCTGATGATATCCCCAATTGGATTCTTCGTGATTATGCCGAAATCCTTGCTCCCTCTGTATCGGACTTATTGAATTCGTCCTACAAGCAAAAAAGACTGCCCTCATGCTGGAAACAAGCTAACATTACACCTATTCCGAAAGAGAAACCTGTTAAAGACATAAGCAAACAGCTCCGACCTATTTCGTTAACTCCGGTTCTGTCTAAACTTGCAGAAGAGTTTGTTGTTGAAAAATATATCGCTCCAGCAGTGTTGTCGTCAATTGATCCTTTTCAATTTGGTGGCATCCCTCGATCATCTGCTACAAAAGCCTTAATTTCTATGGTTCATGCGTGGACTCAAGCCACAGATGGAACTGGAAACGCTGTAAGAGTGGTTCTTTTTGATTATAAAAAGGCCTTCGACTTGATTGATCATAAGATCTTAGCCACGAAAATCATCCAATTGCCAATGCCAAATTTCATTAAGCGGTGGGTAATTGACTTTCTGATAAACAGGCAACAACGGGTGAAACTTGCAAGAGACTGTATGTCTGAATGGATTGACATTCCTTCCGGTGTCCCTCAAGGAACCAAATTGGGACCTTGGTTATTCATCCTAATGATAAATGACCTACGCCCCCCACATCATGAGCGATGGAAATACATCGATGATGCTACGGTATCTGAAATCATTTATATCAACACACCCAGTAAAATTCAAGATACAGTCGATTGTGTTCAAAATTGGTCTGTAGAAAACAAGATGCAATTAAATGCCTCCAAGTGCAAGGACCTTGTTATCAGTTTTACAAAACCTGAGAAAGAATTTCCGCGCCTTAAGATCATCTCAGGCCAAATCGAGACAGTGAACCACGCAAGAATCCTAGGTTTGACAATTTCTAAAGATCTAAAATGGACCCAACACATAACTAACATAGTTAAGAAGGCGAACAAACGGATTTATTTTATTATTCAGTTGAAACGTGCTCATGTACCTGAAGCTGACATAATAAATTTTTACACTACCTGCGTCAGACCAGTCATGGAATTCAGCTGTCAAGTTTTCCACTTCGCCCTTCCTTCCTACTTATCTAATGCCCTGGAACGGGTTCAAAAGCGTGTTTTATCAATCATCTATCCACTGACAGGTTATGCGGATTGTTTACAAAAATCTGGCATCAAACCATTAAGTGACAGGCGTGTGGATGCATGCGAGAAACTGTTTAATGAAATCACCACAACACCAGTAGCTAATATGCATAATCATGTACCATCTAGATACTTTCCAAATTACGACCTTAGACACTCAAGGTCTTTTGTTGTTCCTCAGACCAAAACGAACAGATGTAGAAACAGTTTTT